TATCTAGACAGCTCAACTCACTCAAACGTATAGGAATACACCTTTTCTAGACAGCTCAACTCACTCAAACGTATAGGAAAACACCTTATCTAGACAGTTCAACTCACTCAAACGTATAGGAAAACACCATATCTAGACAGCTCAATTCACTTAAACGTATAGGAATACACCTTTTCTAGACAGCTCAACTCACTCAAACGTATAGGAAAACACCTTATCTAGACAGCTCAACTCACTCAAACGTATAGGAAACACCTTAACAGATTAGGCAAACTTCATTCATTCATTTATTCTCTCAAATTTTAATTTCTGTCCACTTACATGGCACTTTTGCGGTGAGACAAACACACAAACAAGAGGCCCAAGGGCCTTAGCGGTCACCTGAGGTAGATCATAGGTACTGGTAGCTTTATTTTATTGTTTAGATGTGATGTTGAAATCAGCATGTAAACTAAGTGAAATACAATACTTTTCATGTCATCAAAGGATAAGAATTTGAAAATATTGGTAAATGTTCCCTTTGGGGCCCCGCCCTAGCCCCTGGGGATGGGGCAGGAATCCCAATTTTACAATTTAAGTAAAGCTCTCATTCAACCAAGATGATTCTGACTAAGTTTGAGTAATTTTCTGCTGAAAATGGATAAAATATATACCAAAAAGTGTTATTTCCCTATATAAACTATAGTAAACTTTACCCCCTCCCCAAGGGAGAACGGATAGCTCGGGGGTCCTGAAATTTACAATTTAAGTAAAGCCCCTGATGATCTTTCTTTCCACGTAGAGAAAATCACTGTAGTACCTCTGAGTCTGGAGAAGAAGATTTTTGAAATATTGGTTAATTTTCCCTTTGGGGCCCCGCCCTGGCCCCAGGGGTTGGGGTAGGAATCCCAATTTTACAATTTTGAAGCCTCATCTACCAAGGATGATTCTGACCAAGTTTGAAAAAAATCCATCCACTGGTTCTTGAGAAGAAGTTGAAAATGTAAAAGTTTACGCACGACGGACGACGACGGACGGAAAGCGATTAGAATAGGTCACTTGAGCAAAGCTCAGGTGACCTAAAAATGGAAAAAATCCAAGAAAGGGCTTTAAAATTTATATATGATGAACACGAAAATACATATGAAAATCTACTAGCCTGTTCAAAATTACCATCACTCAAAATCAGACGACTCAGAAACTTTGCAATAGAAGTATTTAAAATCACAAATGAACAGACACCAACATACTTACACGACCTTATCAACATCACAGAAAAATCATACACATTCAGATATCACAACACAGCAGATATACCACATGTTAGGACTACAAAGTATGGTAAACACTCATTTCAATCTGAAGCACCTAAAATATGGAATGCCCTACCAGACCACTTCAGAACAACAACTACACTAACACAATTTAAGACACTAATAAACAGCTGGTATGGGCCCAAATGCAACACATTTAGACAAAACACATAGGCTCACAATACAGTGTTATACATGTTTTTAGCTACAGCTTACCTCTACTTATGTCACCTCTCTATTAGATCGTGCTCATCTTTTAATATGTTTTTTTGCCAAATATTTATTGTGTAACTTTGCATGCCATTTTATTTGTCGGTTTTAATAGCTCATATTAGAGCTAATGTTGTATTGTTTTTAACCATACCGACGTTAAATAAAACTTTTGATTTGATTTGAGTGCAATACCACTTACACTGATCTGGGTGGGTGTAGTTGAGTGGCGAAGATCAATTGACTAGCTCAAGAACACAACAAAATCCACATCTGCCTTAAGTTATGATCTAGCAGAGCTAAATAGTTATTGACCTACCTACGTGAAGCATGACATACAGAGACTGTGAACTCAGTTAGACTTTGGTATATAAGGCCTATCGGTCAAGTAGGGACAAAGTCAAAATGAAAGGAGGGCATTTAACACTGTGGTATAGTATAGTACTTACATGTATTTACTGTAGTTAGATCGGTCATTTCTACAAGTCAAATTTATAAATTGTGTGTATTGTTCCAAAGCTTTATCGCGATTCCCTTTGCTTTCTTCAGTTTTTGCTTGTTCAAACAAACACGAGTTCTCCATTCTTGACCAAAAAAATCTGAATAGTGATCGTTCGTGTTGTTCTTTCCGGTGGTAGGTAAATCTTGTACCCCGTTCCCGGACCCGGACTGAAACCCCGTACCGGGAATATAAAGATATTGTAATATCTCATTAACGCGATCGTTTATAATTTTTTATAAAAATATAGAATAATTTCAAACATTATTTTCTAAATGTGACAATTACAAAAATGTTTATTTATCATCTAATAATTTAGAAATCGGCGATAATGTGTATTTCAAGGGGGTAAAACTTGTAACGTCAGTGAAGGCACATTCGTCACATTGGTAAGGGTTTCTGTTAATAATTCGACCAAATAGGCATGTATCAAAATGTCGACGAGCACCGNCGCCTGAATGACGTCACGCAGCAACATTTGTGACGTCATCAGGCCTTCCGTGGTTTTGCTCAAAGGTGCAGGCAGTTTCGCCACCTTCAAACATTTAACTAATTTACAAGTAATCTAAATGTTTAAATGTAAAATTTTGTATGTTTATGTTACACAAGCTGTACTGATACGAACAGTTCCAAATGTGTGTGTGTAACAATGATAAACATTGAAATACATGGCTTTTCTTAGTTGTGATAGTTAGTTTTCGGTAACTTGAAGAAACTGATTAATGTTGTTTAAGAAAGATGACGGGTATCGGCTGAGATGATGTTAATTTACATGATACGCAATAAAGACTCAGTCCTTAACATATATAAATTTCCAAATCTACCCAATATTATATTTTTTTCATCACGGGTCTGGATGAGAGGGTTTTCATGTAAAAAACAGTTTTTGATAATTGTTGGTCTTAACGTACAATCAGCATGTGATTGTATAGCAGCACTTTCAGACCGACAACAAATTCCTTTCAGATATAGAAAATGTCTAGATGATATTTTAATGTAAGTGTTGTAAGATTGTTGAACGTAAGACTCAAACAATACTTTTAAAAATAGATACTGGTTGATTGTATTCTAAACACACATTGCATGAAAATGAAAACTGACGAATAATCAAATCGCGGATCTTTCCGATCGTCATTTCCATAAACTCGTAGTGGATCGTCAGTACATTGTACATGTACCAAAGTACACTTGTAGAAAGAAAAAAAANGTACATGTACCAAAGTACACTTGTAGAAAAAAACAACAATTTACTAGCATTTAATTAACTGCAATAAGCGTTAAGATATGGGTATTTTCATGTCAAAGTATGTAACAAAACACTAAATAACAACCAACTGGCCTCAGATTAATGAGTTCAGTTGACGAGATGTCCGTCGCACAGACCAAAATTTTAAGATTTGTTCTGTTACAAGATATTTCATAACTGTTTTAATTAAAAGTATAGCTTTTCCCTTCTTATGCCTATTCTTGTCAAAATATTTGAAGGCTTTAACTGTGTTGAAGACTATGGTGACGTTATTTACGTCACATCTTATGTATTATGACGTCATATGGCATTTTCGTCACAGGGTGGCGAATTTGGGTGCATGGCGAATTCGCCTGCACTTACGTTACGCCGCAGTCAACCGCGAAAATCACGGGTTTTCACAAATAACTAGAAATTTAGGGAAAATTAACATGTTATTTTCAGAAATTTAGTAAAGATTCCATTGGAATTACATGCTTTTCCAAGATGTTGTCTCATGCAAGTGGTGTCAAACTCTAACTCTTCACTCCCGTTAAACCCATTGAAACAAATTTCGACCAAGTTAGCGATAGCAAAAACCCCACAATCAACCCCGTTTTTCTGTTGTTACACATTTGGTAATACTGTTTTTAAAACTTTTCTATTTTCCCCATATGATGATGACAACTGCATTTCTAAAGAAGCTGACAAATGACCCTTATTTTTCGTATTTCCTATCAAACTATCAAGAATGTATACTTCCCCACTATCTACCTCCTGTACTGACACTACCCAATGGTCCTCACCTGTTTGAAGAATTTGTGCTGATGCATGCGCAGCGCTAGTTGGTTTCATTCTGAGTGCATAGTCCCACTTATTGTTTGTCAAAATTGGAGCATAAGCTGTATCTTGCATTCCGCCTATATTAGGAAACTGTTTCTTTAAATTATCTTGTACGTAACACATGACACACATGATATTACCACATAGTTTGTTATCAATTAATAAATCATTTTTATCCTTAAAACTTAGCGTACTTTTACCGTTAGCCATCCAGATACGTCTTGTTTCTGCGGACTTAATAAGCGACGGTCTGTCATCTGAAAGATCCACTAAAATATCACTTCCATTCGGTTTGTTCTTTTTTGGTAATGAAAGTCGTCTTCTTTGTTTTACCTTAGGACTGGTACTTACAACTGGTTCAGATATACTTACACCATCACTACATTGTATGTCTGCTACTGACTCAGCTATAATACTTACATCTTTTGTATCTTCTTTACCTTCTATTATATTTGACAATCTCTTACGAATGGCTAAGAGTTCTACTTGATAACGACAGCTTGACAGAGTGATGTCCCGTTAGTACGGGTACGGGAGTAAACAAAACACCAGCGATCACAACAAAGTCAGAATTTCATGTGAAATATGTCGTTTATTTCAACGAAGTTTACATAATTATAAACAGTAAGGTATTTTCTTCTATATATCTGAAAATAACATGTTAATTTTCCCTAAATTTCTAGTGATTTTTTTCACGGTTGACTGCGGCGTACAAGTTTTACCCCCTTGAAAAACACATTATCGCCGATTTCTAAATTATTAGATAATAAATAAACATTTTTGTAATTGTTACATTTAGAAAATAATGTTTGAAATTATTCTATATTTTCATAAAAATTATAAACGATCGCGTTATTGAGATATTACAATATCTTTATATTCCCGGTACGGGGTTTCAGTCCGGGTCCGGGAACGGGGTACAAGATTTACCTACCTCCGTTCTTTCGGAAGTCTCAGAAACGCTTGTAAATGTATTACTTTCATTTGAAGAAAGCGTTGTAATAACCCTAACGTTGTTTACAACGCCATTGGCTAAACTCTGAGTGATAGACATAATTTGTCCTTTAGCTAACTCCATGCACACGCGTATACTTCAGAGGGATTGGCAGAACTTGTAAACCGAAAACCAGGAATACATAAAAGATGGTTCACGTTGGTCAGTTTTACCAGGGTTCGGGGCTGTTACAGCCGGTGTCCGAAGTAACAGGATTACCGATTGACCAGGTATGCTACACTCGTTACCGGCCGTAGTTCAGTCCGGTGTTTTATTCAGTTGTTATCATAATAGGGGGGTGGGGTGGGGGTGTGG